TAAAGTTGTTCAAAATTAGAAGTGAAGTTCTGTTTTCATTTTCCTACCAATTGTCATGCAGCTGAAAACATTTTCTGATGTTTAGAACCTAAACTGTGGTGCTAACAAACCAGACCTTTAAAAAAAAAGCCTCCTAGTTTATAAAAGTGGTGCAAACAGAATTAGCTTCCAAGTACTCAGATTTTTCCATTTTAAGCTGAATTGGCACAGTAAATCTACCCTGACCTTTTCCACTCTGATGTTCTCTGCAACAGCTAAACTCGCGTCTTTGTCTGCTAAATTGAATCTTTCAACCAAGTTTCAACTAAGTTTTCTCATTACAGCTTGCAGCCTGTCCTCTGTGTAGCTCGGGTTTTTGATGTGTCTTCACTAAAGCGAAAAAAGACTGCAAAAGTATCAGTTTAAGATGCACAACACACACCACAAGGACCCCCCCTAAAGGGCTACTGCACCATGAAAACCAGAAGAGCCTGTCCTCTTTTATAGATTTTGTATCTCTTGGAAACTGCTGACAGGGTACAGTGTTGTGTTCATGCTTTAACCTCCTCCAGTAGAGTTGAAACATGTCATACTACATGCATAGCATGACTTATGCATGAGGAGACCCTGCACAGCTTCGGCATGCATTGTTTATTGGGTTGCCTGAAGCCTTTCCCTTCACCACGAGCACCGGTTGTGGGGAAATAGAGGGTGACTCAAAACCGTGCGGCTGACAAAGTGTGCGCTGCTGTTCGGACCTCATTTCTCAGAAATGACTCATTTGACATCAAGTTTGGTTTCTTATTCTCTCATAACTGACCGCAAATGTTTTCTTTGTGCCACAGCTGGTTCCCTGAACAGGAAACCGATGGATAATTCTAAGAAATATCAACAAAATACAGATTTATGCTCTTGTTATTGGAAATCTGCATGGTGCACAAACAAGAAAGTACCATTTATTCAAGGTATATTCAAGAAAATATACAAGAATGATGATTTTTCTTAGCCTCAATCTTTTCTATAGCCTCAAAATCAAAACAAATTAGGGGGATGTTCACTATTATTGGAGATTTCAGACTGTTATCTGAGTGGCAGACCCAAAAGGGATCTGCACAATAACATTTTAGCTGTTGGGTGACGAAAACCTGCAGAATTTTATTAATATTGTGTTGGTGTCATCATTGAATTTTATGAACTGGTTTTTATGTCAGTCATCTTAACACACTCCACTTTTTTCTTTCTGCATCAGTTTAATGTGTTTGGATGCTGTTCGACTGCTCGTAGCCTCCATAAATACAGACATCCTCTCCCATAAATTACAGCTGCCACATTAATTGACGTTGTTGTCCATTTAATAGTGAGCTATATGATTATGTTTTAAAGAGGTATGCGGCAGAAAATGATCTCTTTTGTATAATGGGTGCTTCTAATATTGCCAGCGGGGCAGAAAAATAGATCATTAGTGCATTAGTCCAAACGGCTGGTCACCCCTGAGACTAAAACCTTCGCCTTTTATGTTTTTAGTTAAATTTACATTAAATCTGGGAGGTCACACGTGAGGAAGACTCACAATGGAGCAGCTACGTAACACTTAGTTGTGTCCAATCTCCTGGAGGTCAGTGTTATCAGATGGAAAAATCCCAGCAGAAAGTTCTCACATTTACACCTCTGTCTCTGGGCCCTGAGTATTGCCCGGTGATATGGTCATCTGCTTCACAGAGTGAGCTTCACAAGCTTCAGCCGGCACAAAACAGGGCGGCTAGAGTGGTCCTTCAGTGCTCACAGAGAACAAATGTGGCTTCAATGCAAAGACGGCTTTCATGGTTAACAGTAACTTATAAACTTAAATTAAGACTTCTCTTATTCATATGGAATGTTTTTTTTAAAAAACAGCCCTAATTTTTTTTCTGAACACTTAGTCCTTGTTGAACAAAATCATAATTACTTAACAAGGCGGGCACGAGGTGGAGACATTAAACTCCCTCGACCCAGAACAAACTATCTAAAACTATTATATATATATATATTATTATTATAGAGCAATATTTCACTGGAACCAACTGCCAATAACCACACGAAGAGTTCAGAACAGAACAAGCTTAAAAAATATTCTGTCTTCAGAACTACTGCAGATGATAAGATGAACTGACCTGTGTGTATATGTTGTATACTTCTACTCTTGTTTATGTTTTTATTATTTCCTACTGTGATTTTTATTTTTATTCTTTATGATCTGTTTATAATGTAATATCATTTCTTCATGTGAGGACCCCAGGAAGACTAGTGGCCATTTATTTGGCAGCTAATGGGGATCCTAATAAAACTAAACTAAACTAAACTAAACTAAAGCCTCCCTGACCGAGGCGCTGCTCTCACACTTCCCGGGCAGCTGACGGCTGATTTGCGCTGGGTGGCTTTGACCTCGGTGAATTAAACGGTGTCCTGAGGCTCTCTGGCCGCGTTGCCGGGTATTGACCGGCCCGTGGAGCGTGATATTAGGTGCAGGTTCTTCATGCCAGGATGCCTCAGACGATGCCCTAACGATCCGAGGTATTGTTTACACTTCTAGAGCCCGTGACAGGAGCCGCTGAACCGAAAAAGAGCGTTTCTTTGAGGAGCAACATCTGCGAGTTAAATGCTGAAAAAACAGAAAAGAATCTGCTGACTGAAGGAAAATGCCGGAAAAACTGACAAAATCCTTGGGATTTTTATTCAGACTTTGAATGGTAAAGAATGACTTTCAAGGGGTAAAACCTGGAGGAGGGAAAGAGGGCCTCTTGACTGTTAATAATTGGTTCCATCTCTTCAAACTTTGGCTCGCAGCTAGACGGGCGACGCACAGCAGAGTGTAAATTCAATTCCACACGCTACCTGCGAAATCATTTCAAAGACTGATCCCACTAAATCCCGCTGTCTGACCTGTGGCCGCATTGCTTTTCTTTGCTGTTATCACTTGATGAAGTTCATGCGTCAAATCTCTGTTGCTCACTTCCAAATTGCCAGCCACACAAACCATACGTGGTTTATTTATCTCAACTCTGCGTTCCTTCCATCCCGTTTCATTCTGATTTTGATCACAAACGGGTGAATTCATGCTAAAAGTGGAGATAACCTCTCTTTTTCTCTGCCCTCAGCTTCCATATCCCGGCTAACGGTCAGCACCCGTCACCCTGTGGTCTGTTTCTGCTTCTGTGACTCATCCCTGCTGGCTATTGTGTCCAGATCAGATGGCATTTGAGGCCCTGATTGAAATTATATTTCATCATTTATGAAAAACAACAGGGTGGCAGGTCGTCCTTTGTGCTATTTTTGTATTGTTCGCTTTCTCTGATTAACTGATTATACATTTTGTTTAAAAATATAGAATAAACTGCTGGGTGAGATAACATTTTTTAGATCTATCAGCCCGTGTTGGATGGGGCCGTAATCTTGCTTTAGCAGAAAGCAAACAATATTATGATTTATAATATTTGTTTTAATTTTTGGCTCGTCCTGGTACAGTTTCTCCTTTGAGTTGAGCTTCAGAGTGCAGCACTGAACAGCATCAGCCATCGCAAGTTATTTGCAGACTCAGTAAGGAAAATCCATATTTTTGTTCGGGTTAGAGAGAGCTCTGGCTGAGATAAGGATCCAGCAAAGAACAATGAAAACCAAGGAGCACATACACTTTTGGAAAAGAAAGCACCCAACTGGACCGTTGAGGGTTCAAATTTGACCCAAGAAGATCCTGATTATTTACCCTTGTGGTTTTTACCTCTGAAAAGACCAGGTTTGTACCCCAGCTGTCAACTTCATCCCTCATTTCAAAAGTAAAAAAAGGTCCATTTTCAAAGCTTAGACACATTCGAATTCACACCTTTTCTTACATTTCGTCTTTTCAAACTTTTCTCTGAATTGAGATCACAAACACAAAAGTTGATGAAACATAATTTCAATCACAAACACAAAAGTTGTGTTTGTGAAAGGAACGTTAGGAGGAGTGAAAATTGACGAAGACGTCTGCAAATAATGGCAGGAGACAGAGAATAATCAAAAACCAATCAGAATCCAAATCAAGACTAAAATCAAGGGTAAGACAAAACAAAAAAACATGCAAACAAAAGCAAAGAACATCAGCAAAGCAAATTACAAAAAATAACAGGGGCTAGAAACTGCGACACAATAATTCTGCGTCTGGGTACTTTTTCCATTTGTATTAATCAATACCACATATTTTCACATATCAGCAATGTCCACAAGCAACTAGAAGGCAACTCAGCAGAAAAGAGTCCGAGGCAGCGTCATGGGGTGTGGAGTGTGTGTGTTCACACACTCCATGATTCAGTCCTTTCACATGGCCTGTGTGACAACAGCTCTCTTCTTTAATTAGCCGTAAAGTTCTAGTCAGATGTCTTATTGCAGCTACAGTCTCCAAACCTAAAGCTATCTGAGTCTTTTCATCACATCATCTTTTATAATAGAGTGTTAATCATGTGTAAACATACATCTTCTACATCAAATTACAGGCTCAATCCCTTTCAACAAGTCAAAAATCAACATTTTGAATTATTCTATTATTCAGTCACGAGTCTTTCCATCTGTCCTCTTCCATAAGATTAATCTCGTAGTTTTAATCATGAGCTGGTTTGAAAGGTGGTCCACTCTGAGTTTGTTTTGGTGAACCAGTAAGTGGGGTATTGAGATGGGGGATTAACTGAGAGCGTTACAGGAAAGGATGGTAATGGAGTCCTGGGTGCATCAGTAACTCCAGGTTCACAGGGCTAATGGGATGTTATTTGTCCAGTGCTGCATTGGCAAATAGTCTTCAGCACATGTTTAAAAAGACAGTACAGTTAAAGCGGTGTTTAACAAAACCTTTGACCATGCCTCTCCCCTTTCAAATTTCAAGCAACAAATCTACAGTTTTGTGGAGGATTAACAATCTGAGACACGAAAACTGTCAGACCCGTCCACTTTACCTCAGTGGGAGAATAAAAACAGTTTTAACGCACCAGTGAGACTGAAATATCAAACTAAGTTAGGTCAAATTAATTGAACCAGACTGTCACATCCAGATCAGACCACATTTAAACTTCCACTCAATTATTCTCAAGTGAGCATGAACTGTTCCACATATACATCATTTTGTACCCTCTGTACAATTTTTTGGAGATGAAATAAGCGGGGAAAATATTACAATGGTTAACAAAAGAATTGCGTCAACATTTTTATGTGGTTAAAGAGATCAAATACTTCTGGAAGAATGCGCCCCCCCCACCCCCCCCCATAAAACATAAATGCATTTGTGATGCCGCAGAGATCTTTTTAAGCGCATGTTTGCTGACTGAAGACACACAAACTCAAACTTTGAAGCTCTCAG